AAGCAAAATAAATTCCTTAAGGTCACAAGTATGAAAACAAAGGGAATACGCTATGAGAATAATTTTTTGATACCCAGAAAAACCTTCTGGACGCATTTGGGCTTTTTGTGCCAAAAAGCCCAAAACACAACTACTACATATGCATTTTATAGAAGGCATATATATTTATATACATCGTAAAAAAAAATTTAAAAAAAAAAAAATAAAATAAAATAAATTTTTTTCTATTCAAATATGCAAGTTAAAGGTTCTGATCCTCCTATAGAGTTTTTTCTACCCAACGATAATGAATATGATTCTGAAGAAACTCTTGATCTTTTTGAATATGATTTGGTTAAAATATTAGATGAAGAGCAAAATGAAACATTATCAAGCGATATAGAGATGGAAAAAGATGATGATGTTTTATTGGAAGAAGAGTATAATGATGATATTATAATTTGCGATGATATAAATAATTTACAAAAAATAAGAGAAAACGTAAAAAAAAAATTTTTTTACAAACAGAAATAGAGGAGTTACGAAATAAATTACATGCTAATAAATATTTCATGGAAGAAATAATACCAAAGTTAGTTCTTTGTAAGTGTGGTAAAAAAATCTGGTTAGATCGAGATTTTAGAGACAAAAATCTTACAACACATGATGAATTAAGTAATTGTAAATATAGCGGAAAAGGACAACAAAGTATTAAAGTTTTTTTTAAACCTAAAAAAAGTAAAAATGAAGACGAAAATATAATTGTCAAAAAAGTTCCATGTAAAGGATTATGTGAAGAAAAGTATCGAAAATATGTATTTAATAGTCCTGCTGAATTTGGAGGATCAGTTAGACTTGACATAGCCGCAAGAGAATTATTTCTGAAACTGTTAAAACAAAACTTAGATTAAAAGTCTTAGTATAACGAAACGTAATAATCTTAAAAATTATTTACGTGTACATGCTACATGATTATTAAATAAATCTACTATTTCTGTTAGAAGTAAAGCGTGTAAAGACTTTACAACCAGAGAATCGGGTATTTGTAATAATTGTGATAAATTAAAAAGAGATACTCGTCTAAATCAAGCAATTAACAAGGTACATATTCAACAGTAATATATTTATAAAAAATTGGCTAATTTATCTAAGACTTTTGTATTTATAGCGACGAGCAACTGGAAAAAATATTCGTTTTATTCCAAAATGTTATCTTGAACATCCTTTAAGCAAATTATTTGTTAATACAAATCTTAAATCATTATGGATATCAGCTGATAGTAATGATAATGATGCAGAAATTTGGATTAAATTAGCTCAATTTGGAAAAGACAGATTTTTTGATAGAGAAAAAACATTTCAAGAATTAGCATCATTAATGATACAAATACAAGAAAAAAAATTAAAAAATAAAAAAGCAACAGGTCTCCGTTATTCTGAACACTTAAAACAATTTTTTAGTTTATTATCGGAAAGTAGTCGTGAATATGAAATTTTTAGATAAATATTTGCAGGAATGAGCATTCGATCTATAAGATACTTGCGAGCAAAAGAAGTTGACGTTGTGACTAATCCAGAATTAGTATATGAAAATATATTAAAATTTGCTCGGTTAATTAGGTCACTTAATTGGAATGGACCTGTTGTTGGAATGACAAATTATACAAAAATTCGACCTAAACTTACTTATTCAGATGAACTAGGTGGTATTGTCGGATCAACTTTAAAATTATCAGACACTTCAGTTCAAACATATGATGATATTCACAAAGTTATAAATTATATAAAACAAAAAAAAGCTATCGCAACTCAAGTTAGAGTCATAGTATTAAAGGTATGAATTAGGTATAATTTCAAAAATTAAATAAAAATATATTCATATTTTATATTTTTTTTTTTAGATTCCAATTGAAAAAATTCCACCTCTTGTAATTTTTATGTTATCAACAAATGGAGAATCTAATGCTGCAAAAATTTATGATCTTTTAACGAATGTAATAATCATATCACGAGATGCGGGTATTAATTTAGTTAGTTTGGGATCAGATGGTGCCCCTGTTGAATATAGTACGCAACAATTAATAATGAATAGTGAAAAGGCTGAAACTTTTTATGAATTTCATGATAATTATTATAATGTACATTTTCAGGTAATTAAAATATAATAAAGTTATATGATTTTTAAAAGAAATTTTTATTAAATAAATTAATAAATATAGATGCTAATATATCGAAATTTACCTATTATTACTGTGCAAGATTCCAAACACACTAAGAAAACAGCTCGTAATCTGCTTCATTCAGATGCAAGATTACTTGTACTTGGGAATAATGTAATACTTTATTGACATCTCTTAACTCTTGCTCAATCTCCAGATCATACACTTTTATATTCGAGATGTTGTAAATGTTGATAAACAAGATGGTGGAGCTGCATACAGAGTATTTCATTCAGATATATTAGCACAAATACATCAAACTAATTTAAAAAATAACGAAATGCAATCTTTATTTGTTTATCTCTTTGTATTAGGTAATCAATAAATATTTATCATTTGTATTATTTATTATATTATATTTATAATAAATTTTTTTGCTTTAAAATAGGTGATCTTTTCGATTCCTATCTTAATCGTAATATTTCTTATAAAGAACGAATTATCATGGTTATGCGTAGATATTTTTTTTTAAATATGTGGGTTGAATATATAGATAATGTCAGTAAACTATATAATTCAATGTTTTCTATTACCAAAAACTTTATTTCTCTACAAAGCTTTAAAATTTTTATTAATTTAGCAAAATCCTTAATACTTTTAATTATATCTTATCATGAATTTTACTCATTATACCCTTTATATCTTTGGGAATATGGTACTGAGGCTATAGAACATGTGTTTGGTATATCTCATCAAATAACAAATGATTTCTCCTTTTATGAATTTTTTAAAATTCAATAACGTGTTACATATCAGGACAAAATTATTAGACAAAATATACAAATTCAAAAGGAAAAAACATCAGCATCAGGTAAATTAATAATTATTATATATTAAATTTTATGCAAATATAATAAATTTAATTAATTTATTATTTATTAGGATATGTATTTGATTTTAATTTAAATTCTAATTCAAAGGAAAATATTGATATTTTACGAACATGGCCAGATGATAATGCAATTCATGATGCAATCAAAATAGCATATGATGATGCAGCAAAATTTATTAAAGTATTAGAAATTAAATTATTAAATGATAAATCAATTCTGCGCTTTTATGGTTCAACATCACATCAATCAATGGCAATTTCTAATTTTTTAAATATTGGTAATCCTGATGATATAAATGATATTAGTGGATTTAATTTTGATGATGAATTTGATTTGAATAAAGAAGATTTTCCTTTAACCAATGCAGCTTTGGAAGTAGCACAATTATCACAGTTAGTAGATTTAGAACAAAAAACAAATGAATCAGAACAAAAGCATGAATTATCAGACTCATCAAAAATGAAATTGGATTATATTTTAAACACATCAAAAAATTTTTTTCCGATAATTGAATTAGAACAAAATGAACTGTTTAATACAGATAACTCAATGGATATATCACAAATAATTCAAACATGTGTATCTCATAATGCATTTTCACGATTTGAGCAGTCTTGTCGAAATCGTCAATTAAATACAATTCGATCATCTGATAATCAAGAAAAATTAAATCAAAATTCAGCAAATTTACTAGTTT